ATAGTGCTTCATCAGTTAAAGATCTTTAAGGCTGAGAGTAATCCCCATTGAAATGAATGTTATCTACTTTTGAATAGATATGTATAGGATCCAGTGCTAAAGGGATAACTGTTAGTTTAAATTGTTTCATTCTAACCTGATTCTGGGCTACCTTCAAGGGTTTGCCTTTGATACTTATTTTCAGTTACAGGAATCCTACAAATATGAAGGAAGTGGGGGAGGAGGAGGAGGGGGGGAAGAATAAGTTGTATTACGACTTTTTCACATATATGGGCTAAAAGGTACAGAAGTCTGGGATGTACATTACTTCTAAGGAACACTTGAATTCCAGCATCTTATTTTAGAAAGTAAACATCTTCCAAGTGTGAATGAGGGTTCACAAGGGAGTAGCTGCAAGTAACCTCTGGGAATGAACTATATATGACTATATGTACTATATGCACAAAAGCGGACACAGTTAAGGTTGAAAATGTATCTCATTTTCTATTTCTTTAAAATAACACTTTAAAAATATATCCTTGATATTTCTTTTATTGCCCCTCTTCTTAGCCTTCTTTAAAGATCTTGACTTCATTTTTTTTTTTTTTTTACACTGGCCTTCAACTCTTTTGCTGTGATGCTTCACAAGATCTTTTAATACTTCATGATTGGACTTTAAAGAAAATAATATGAGCTATTACTGTGAATTCATCAGCAGTGTGGAAAAAGTGAAGCTGAAGACTTCACTGAAAATAGCACTGGAGAAAAGAGTGCCTAAGCCATGAAACAACATGAATGCTAAGTATTACTGGCAACTAATCAGGCTCTTTAAGACCTCATGCTGGTAAGGGCATTTCCCTCCTGCAATTAGAAAGGGAAGCAGTCAGGAATGTGAGAGAAGAGTGGATATAATTAAGCTATTAAAAGAAACTCTCACATTTCTGCAAGTAACATGGAGATTATATAAAACCCTGTATTTTAATTATCTCTGCTCCTCATAAAATGGGACAATATTGATCTCTCAGACATGGAATGAATGCAAAGATCACTTTTGCATCCTCAGCACAGCTATACTATACAGTCCCTTTCCAAAACAACTGATCTCTACGTGGATTAACATGACACTGGCTTCAGGGATCTCTTAGGGCAAATATGTCCATCTTTCTCTTACATTCTCTGTTTCCTTTGGCAATGCTGCTGCTGAGACCCATTTACTGTAGCAAGCCATCCAAATGGCTTTTAATGAGGCCAGGCATAGTATTATGAAGTCCTTGGAAAATCTAGAAGGTTGAATTTTCAACCAAAATAATTCAAGAACAGTGTAAGAAAAAGAAGCCAATATTATGAGAGGCAAGATGAAGGAAGACCAGCCATGAGTGGAATAGCATACAAGTAATGCAATGTGTTTTAGTGACTTTCGAAAAATAATCGAAACTGCATTTTAACACTCAACGAAAAAGAACTTTCAATGAATGTATCTTTGTCTTGTACATAGATCATAGCTGTGTACATATATACATTGATATTCATGCTATTTTTTCCATGCTACTATTCATAGTAGCATGGAAAAAGAGGACAGGGACTCCATCATTAACTCCCCATGACGTCACACTCCCCAAGACCATACCCATTAATGTTTGTATGTTTTATACAGATATCTGCAGGAAAGAGACCTACTCAGATTCAGCTTCCTGAACACATTTAGTCCTTCCACAGAATCAAGTGCTGAAGAGAATATATGGCTATAGTCATTTGGGATCATTATCTTGTTGCGTATGCCTTAAACTAAGCCATGCAGAACTCTGCAATTAAATCAAAACATGAGAGCAAATGAGGCAAGAAAGACTGGCAGCTGCTTCCTAAGGGGTTAAAATGACTAGGTTGCATATTGTGTTAAGCTGTTGTTTCCTGCATAATGTACTCAACCTGCAACTGAATGGGTTTACATATCATGTAAAATAAAAAACCCTGCTATAATAAACACAGCTTATAGAACATGGTAAGCCAAAGGCAAACAAATTATATGGTGATGTAGAATCCTTTAATATTAATATTTAATATTCATCCCCCTGCACAGAGCTAGAACACCTTCAGCTCTTTACTTGCTCACATGGAACAGGGAGTTGAGAAAAGGGGTGGGCTTCAATCTGTGTCTCTCATCAACCACATAAATAAGAAAATTCTTATCCTGACCGTTAGCTGGAGAAACCCCCCTCCTTCTCCCCTCTCTCAGTTCCCTCCTGTAATTAATTAGGACTCCAACATTTCCACTGAATTTTCTTAAAAACCATTACACCATTCCATAGACTAATGGAATAGACTAAAACCACAGGGTTCAGTTAAAGATGAACATAGCATCATTATAATGAAGGATTCTTTGTAGAATCAGTTTAAATACATGGTAGCATTTCAAGTAATATTCATATCAAATTTCAACTGCAGCTTTGGAAACAGATCTAAACAATCTATCTTTGAAATTTTTCCCATTTTCTTAACTAAGTGTGGATGTGTGTGTGTATACATCCACTAACCTCTCCCTTGTGGAAATCACAAATTTGTTCCAATATATAAAACCCCACATATAATTTATAAAAATCTATCTATAGCATGCAGATATTCTGATTGAACCTGCTGTATTCTGAAATACATTTTTGAAAGCCAAGTGATGTACTTAATGTGTAGCTGTAGCCAATCACTGTTTCTTCTCGTGTCCTGCTTCTTTATAGGAGATCCACAATGGGTTTTCATTATACTTAGCATTCCCCTCCAATTCTTTATTTGTTTTGCATCTAGGAGATGGGAAATATTGTGATGGCATGCTGCTATTTTAAGTAACAGGATCAGAATATATGGGGCAGTTGCAGTCATATATTTAGTCATATCTATGATGTTCAGACAAAATGGATTCTGCTGATAACAATATAAAGACACGAACAGAACTACAGATAGATAGCGAAATAGGTAGTTTAATATGACTGAAAGTCATAAAGGGCTATAATCATGTATGGCATAGTACTTTTGCAAATCATATTTTATCAGTAGATTTTTTTTCATGAAAATCAAGAATTCTAATAAATAATAAGTACAGTCAATTAACATATATACTTAGTTAGAAATAACCTTGGAAATTTCAGGAAGAAATTTATTAAATTGTTTTTCTTTCAATTTTTTATATAAACACAACTTTAATTTGTGTTTTAATGAAATGAAATGAAATGAAATGAAATGAAATGAAATGAAATGAAACCAAGAAGTCTGCTACAACCTAAAAAGAATGTTTATATATTAGCTCCAAACTGGCTTCACAAGACTGCGTGATCCCAGTTGGAGTTTAGTCACATAAATTGTTCTCAGCTTTGCAACAGTAGTTATCCAAGGGAAAAGTTTTTTTCTTTCAGAAATATGCTTTAAGTGCTTTAAACCACTTGGTTTACACCACAGCCAATGGAATCCAAGCATGGGAACATTTATTATGGAATATATAATAAATCAATGAGCACCGGAGGTTTTTACAGCTAATTATAAGAAAGTGTGATCCATAAATGCAGAAGGATGTGGGATCACACTACTTATTCTGCATGAGCAGCTGAACTCTTGCACTTACGCTTGATTTTCCAGATCATGCAGTGCTTCTGAGTGCTTGAAACATCTTCATATTTTCAGTTCAGCTGAACTTGAGTGGGCACTCTTGGCAGATTCTATTTCAGAGTACGGAGATGGGGTACAGAGCTAGGAGAATGCAAAGTATTAAGGACAAGACAGGGGACATATTGTTACTTTTTCTCTCCATCTACAGATTGTTCATGTAATTAATATCTATGAAGATACATACACACTTTCTTAGTAATCATCAGAGCAAAAAAAATCACTCCATACACTTCAGGTATATTATTCTCTGTAATTTACCTTTCATAACATGTTATACCTTAAAACACAAAAATCTTCTGTTAATGTGTATGACTGAATAATACAGATCAGTGCTTTCAGAGTTTGGAATTAATACTTTTGCAACAACTAGGTCTCAGGCATTATATCAGAAAGGGAAGGAGCCCAATCCTATATGAGTTAGAAATGTATTCTCATTGATTTTATTAAGTCTGATTACATACTTGTTTGATCTGTGGCTGATCAGACCCCACCAGTCTGCCATAACTTCATACACTCATACACAACATTACACACACATATTTTTGTAGTCTAAGGCTGGCAATGAACCCAGAAAGTTAATTGAATCCCTGGTGTTCCACAAATTCTGTAGGAATTTCATCATCTCTGATGTATGGCTTAGTTTGTTTTACAAATTTACCTAACAACAGGCCAATCCATTTTGCCCAAGATTATCCTCTCTGGATGCCTTTTCCTGATCTTATTATCCAGAATCTTCTTAGTTTATGATGTCAGGGCATGGACTGTTTTCCCCAGAATTTCCAAGCTTAAACAAGGACCCCCTCCAGAACAGGATGGGGTGTCACCTAACCTGTAATAGGCTTATGAATACATACATACAACAGAGGTACCTTTAAACATACTGTTTTAAAAAACCCCAACAAACTACTCTTTTTTAAAAGTAGACATTTTAATTTTGAATCGCAGAACTGTCTCCCGCCAAACCAAAGACAGCCCGCTGCCCATAAAGGTTGACTCATGAGGGTTTGAATTATCCCCTGTGTTTGCAGCCTGCTTTGAGTATAAAGTTCCCTGCAGGCCATCATTCATCACTGTTGTTCTCTGTACAAGGAGATGAGTCACAAACCAGTCTCAAGGCCTGTATTGTATCATTCCTTTCTAGTCATGAAGAGGTTGCTTTGTCAGGGACTCCTCTGCTATCAACCAAGTTGATTTTTGCAAAGTTATTTTTGAGATTTGGGGATAAAAAATGGTTTGAGGTGGAATGTGTCCAGAGTGCTCCTCTTCCATATGATGATTGGCTTATATTGCTAGGGGAAAATAGAAAGATATAAAAATACAAAGCAAAGCACCTCTCTGGGACTGAAATCCTTTGTATGTGTTGTTATTTGCAGTGCATGCCAAGAAAGTCATGGGCGCAAGAGCCAAGCTGGCGAGCTAATTAAATATATGAATGTATATGTTTAAACAGCCTTATAAAGGAGCATTGGAAATCTGCAAGATGAGCGAATATCTTATAACTTCTTCCGCAGGTGCGAGGATAGCTACAAGCCATGGACTTTCTGTCCTGCTTCTTGTTTGTGGCTTTGTGAAGGGTGCTTTGCTTTGATCTAAAAAGTGCTGACTTTTTCCAATATCACTTTCTCTTCTTAAAGCAAAGAGCAAATCGCCTGTAAAATCTACGGAGCGGACAGCAAAGTTGACCCTAACCTCCAACCACCACCCTGCACCCAATGTACTCTAACTCTCTACACAAAGGAGCACCTTCTTCAGGAAACACATACAAAATAAAATAAAATAAAACATTAAACTTTTTTTAAAAAAAGAGAGAGAAGAGGCTAGCACCAAGTTTCTTCCTTTCTTTTGAATCTATCATTTTTTTCTTTTTCTTTCCCTCTCTTTTTTATTTTTTCCTTTTTGAGGGGAACTGGAGCAATGTAACAGAATATTGTTCAATGTGGCAATGTACCTTTTTCTTTTTCTTTACTTTTCTTTTCCTTGATTCAGACAAACAAAAGTGCTGAATTCCCTTGACTCTTCAGCTTTTATTTATATATATATATATATTTTGTATTATCAAACTGGACATGGTTCTTATCCCTGGAAAGTCATAACACTAAGCAGAAGGATAATGAACTCAACCTCCCCATACCACATCTCAGCAAATAACCTCTCCAGCTTACAAGATGCAAACAACACTACCAGGATGGCAGCAGAGGGAAACACCATTGTCCTTTGGAAGAACTTCTTTTCTAGAAGGCAAAACGTGACAAAAATCCAGCACGGCTAATAAATGCAAGAAGTCTATAATGACAGAAAATATGCAGGAAAGTGTTGGAGCCTCTGTTGGGCTTTCTTATCTGTTTTTGTTTTTGTTTTTCTCTCATGATTATTTATTGCTTTCTTTCCCATTTGATGGTGGCAATTACTAGCCTGGCCAACCCCTGTGGAGTACTTGAAGGTTTCTATAAATACATATTTCATTTGTGTGTGTTCTCTAATTTGGTGTTTTTTTTTGTTTTTTTAAATTTTGCAACTCCTGTATATGCATACTTAACTTACATTCTGTAAACTGCTTACATGTGATACAACGTCAGACTAGATGTTCCTTGGTACATCTTACAAGCCAGTTTTGAATAGTATCTCAGTGTGGTGCCACCAACCTGACATGTCTGTTTCCTTTCACCAAAGCATTCATTTTAAGTTGTAATTCAGTACTATGTGGGATTTTGTAATTCATGCAATCACTTTCCACTGGCCTGAGTCCTTGCAGATAGCAATGCAACCCTCTGTTTACTCTGTAAAAATGCACATTAAATTTGTTATGGTCTCCAGCAGGAAGTATTTGAGTTGCACAGACATGGTGGAATTATTTCTGGGATATCTTTCATCAATTATATATAGCCCTGAAAAAGGGGGGGGGGGAATAGGAAGGAGGGAAGGAAGGAAGGAAGGAAGGAAG